TTTATGAGAGGAAAGCTGTGTGAACTTCATGTGCTAGTAATAGAAGAAATCATATTAATTAGTTAAATTGTTTGTATCTTTTATGCGAAGTCGTACGCTTATTAGATCGACAGAAAAAAATTTGCGCAAAATAAACCATCGCCAATCGTACGAGAGGTAAAGAACAGTTTATCTAACTCTTCAATTTTGATTTACAGATCAATCCATGGAAATGACACGGATTTCTGGAAAACAATAATCCTATAATTTATGAGCGATCTCCCGAACGAAAGCTTTTTTTCGATTCTAGTCTTACAGTGAAGAGGATGTGGTCAAAAATAGACTGTATACGAAAAGAGAAAACATTTAATATTAAAAAGTGAGAGATTCACTTCATTGTTCAGGAACAATACGGCTTTAATCATTGTTAAATTCATTGTAGCCACTGAAAATTCGACAGTGATACAGAAAAGCTGAACCGTTTCTAAAAAATGGCTGCACCTCCAAACCCTAGTTATCTAAAATTAATTTATTTTCGCATACAAACTACTTCTTACTGTGTACTATTTTACAGAACAATCAAAATTATAAAAACTTTCTTCCTTAAATATGAAACATTTTCTATTTGTTTAAGTCAGTTGAAAAGTCAAAGGTTAAACTATATTAAGTTATTCATATTGATCATTACTGTGTTCAATTACGTTCAAACATCTTTTGTTTCTATGCTTCATCCAACAAGCAATTCAGTTTATCTCGTACTATTTTTGTTTAAACTATAAGAGTGTAATCTAATGAAATTCATGATAACAGTAATTATTTGCTCACCAGCAAACTGTTAATCACTGAAATGATCTCAGAACTCTATTAGATACAAACACCATATAAATCAAACTTCCTTTGTGTCCGAATCGTCAGAAAAAACTCATTAGGCAGCTTGGAGTGGGTTCCAAATAAAGCTGAAACGAATCGCGGCATGAAATAGTGGGCAAGTTCAAGCTCTTGTATTTAATAATCAAAGTGAAACTTCTAGAAACATTTGCAATAGAATTGAAACCAAGAAAATTTCGATTACAAGAAGATATAGTTTGCTTGTCGAAACAAGAGTTTTACCGTGATTCACGTATTTGAAAGACTGCTTTCTTTCACATTTGATGATTTGAAGACAATACTCATCAAGTATTTCCATCAAAAAATCAAATAAAAAATTGAATCGTTTTAGCAGCACGTAAGAATAGCTTTCCTAAAGTTTTTATAGTATTTGAGATTTCATTAGCTATGAAAACATCGTTAACAATATTTCCTTGTTTTTTTTTCTTAACTTTTTCTGATTTTTAGATCAATAACAACGACAGTATCTACTACGCTTGACCATTTCGAATCATCCTTAATTACCCAAGGTATTGAAGAATCATCAAGTTCAAATGTTCCGATTGTAACAACGGTAAGCTTATGTAGAAAAAGAAAACTATCATAGTACACTGAAAGATTCATTTTTTATGTGTCTATTTCTTCGATGGGATGCTCAACTCAGAAGAGCTTCAACCTCGTCATTATGTTAATCTTTTTAGACAACTACAACTTCCACTACACAGGAACCTCTTATTCCAATATTTACATGTGATTTTTCTATGACTTCATGCTTTGGGGGTAGTGAACTTCTTATTACAAATGGAAATGAATTTAGCCCTGTCGATATTAGCAGTGAATCACCTCGAGCTCCTCTTTCTGATGTTAGTTCAATTAGTAAGTGTTCATCTTTCTCTCTCTTTTATTCAAAACATATATGTATATAAATAAATGAGTATTTCAGATGAACCAACAAATAATAATGAGATATGCAAATTACCTTATCGTCCATCAATAGATAACAGTACAAATGCAACGAGTTGGGATATGTGGTTTTGTTACAAGAATCAATGTCCAACTGAGAGTCAACAATCATCAAATTGCAAATTGGGTAACTTTGTTTTTTAAAAAATACACAAAACTCAATAGAAAGAAATATCAGCTCTGATAAATTACTTAAATGTGAAATATGTATCACAATCTTAACTTCCTGAAATGTTATCGAAACAAAATCTGCGAGCTGTACACCGATGTTTGTTTTTCTTTAGGTAATTATGGTTTGATCTCTATTGATGCTTGGGAATCAAACAAAACAATCGTTAAATCGATTAGTCAAGATGAGATGATACGTAACTCTGTTAGAGAACAATGTCTTCAATATTATTATTATTTCACTGTTTATGATAAATTTGATTGGGGTCAACAAATTTCAGTATTAATTAAATCTGAAAATGAAACTGATGACGAAAATGAAATCGATCGACTATCAATTGTTGACATATTAGAAAATCGTTGGCATCCCAGAAATATTACATTCAATTCAACATATGCTAACTATACTGTAATATTCTTTTGAAATTAAATATAGATTGTAATGAATTTATTGATGTTTTTAGTTGATGTTTCATTTTGAAGTTACAAATGATAATCGAACCAATGATCCTACATTGAATAAAACAATCTATTTCGCCTTAGATAATATCGAACTATATAATCGAAATTGTCGAAGTCTGTAACATAACATGGAACATAGAAAGGTGAAAAGCGAGAAATGATGATTTAAATCGTTTTTTAGATTTGATCGAGCCAGCTACTATTTCGACGACTACATCAACAATTACGTCACAATCTCCAACGACAACAGCAATAACAGCGAGTACAACAGATGAATCGACAGATAATCGTCCAGGTGAGCAGCAAAATGATTCATAGTTTTTTTTTCAACTTCTCTCATTTCTCTTTTTAGTAACGTCTAATAATTTGGGTTTAATTCTTGGTCTGTCACTTGGTCTTGGTATTCCCGCTGTAGCTGCCTCTATTGGTGGTATTGTCTACTATTTAAAAATAGCTAAACCGAAGTCTAAAGTAATAGTTCAAAATTCTAATGCTGCTACTGAAATTCCAATGACACCGACGATGAGCTCCACCAATCGCGATACGACAGCAACAGTTTGAGTGACTTAATCGGATTCTAATATAAGCAAATTCAATAAATTAATATAAATCTGTGCACGATTCTTCAAATTTTAATTGTAGTAGAATGCTGTTTTTCTATTTGAATAATAATAAATAGATAAAATGGGACATTCTCATTTGAATGCCTTGATCACAAAATAATACAAAAATTATTTTCCATTTGTGAAACTTATTCGAAAGACAACTAGTATCAATCTGTTTTTTTTTGTGGTTTTCAAATTGAAAAGACGGCTGCAAGACAGTATCCTTTATGATATATGTTGATTATCAAGTACAAAGAAGAACAGCACAGCAAAATGGACTGCTCATCTAATTCGTACATAGCGAAGACATTATCTTGCTATTGTTACTGTAAATGTTGTATTCTATGATTGGGATTGTGTTATGATGATGAATAATGCCATCGTAATATAGTTGATTGTTGAAGAAATTATTTCTTTAGGTCAATAAATAAAACTGTATCATTTTCTGTTGATTAATATTACTTCGTATTCAAACTTAATTCAATATTTAACATAAATTATGTTTAGTTTGTCATCTTTAAGGCCCCCCTCTCCCTCAAAAAAAGTCAATTTTCGTCAAAAAAGTCGAAATGGAGATAAATGCATGGGAAGATAGCCCGTGATCTGCTCTTTCATAGCTGATAAAAAGTTTTCGTCGATACCTCCTTTTTGTCCAAAATTTTCGAA